GCCGGGGGGGGGGGGTGTTGTGAGAGAGAGAGAGAGAGAGAGAGATTTGAGAATTCACAAAGTAACCATTGCAGGGTGTACTGTCTTGGATTAAAAAAACACTGGTTTCTTGAGTGACAAGCAACAAACCCAGTGTATTATTTATTACGTTAACGTTAATAACAATTTTTGGATAAAATACTATCAAATTAGTACTACAGTTTTGAAATATTTATGTGTGATTGAATTATACTTTCGGAGGCTAAAATTGGAGAGAAACAGAGCAAGTTGGTCATACTAGAAATATTTCGTCGTCTTTTTCGTACCTGAGAGGATGACGACATCTTGAAGGGACAAGCCTTTAGAAGAGAAGACAGTGAGCATCTGATCAAGCGTGAAATCGGTGTCTATGATGTTCGGTCTCACATTCGCCGCCACGGACACTGTCCCATCTTTTCGTCCTGTCGGAATCTCAACCACGGGTCCTCCCACCTATACATTACACACACAAACACAGTTTAAGGACGACATTGTCTCGTGAATGCATGCATGCATGCACGTAATGATGCATATATGCGTATGTAATACAGCTTCGACGGCGTCTCTGGCAGCGAGGGCGATGATGTCAGCGCAGGAAACGATGCCTGGACAGAAGATCTCAAGAACAGATTTGGCGTTCTCTATCACAGAGAAACCTCCAAGAGACGCATTCGCCGGATCACTCCTCTCTGTGCTGTTGCCTTCTATCATCACTGATCCATCACAACCCTGCAACATCCAAACGAATCTGGGTCGTCAATGGCGATTTGCTGCGCCCAGAAACAAATTAACTTCTTTATAATGTAGTGGAGATTGGAGGGGAGAGAACAGATGAGAGCGTTTACATCCACGAAGCAGTCATGGAAGAGGAGACGGAGGAGCTTTCCAGGGACCGTCAGATCGTTGGAAGAGGCAGATCTAACGGTGTTTCTGACGACGAATTCAGCTCCAGGACATGAAATTCCGTAGAAGTTGAAAGAGAGACTGGCCGAGGTAGATGTAAGGAGATGAGCAAAGAACAGAGGAAGAAGAAGACGGAAGGAGAGAGAGAAAGGGTTTGGTCTGCAAGAGGAAAATGGAACTGCAAACGTCATTGTTTTACTCTGTGTTCTCTCGTTCAACAAGGAAAGTGATAATGTGACTTCGTCAAAGAGTGATGAATCCTTGTGCTTTCTTCGAGAGAGAGAGAGAGGTGGTTGTGAGAATTGTGAACTGCATTTGATGTGGGTTTGGTGGGTGTCAGAGAGAGAGAGAGAGAGAGAGGTTTAATGATGGAGGCATTAATTGAGAGTTCTTTGATGTCGTGAACAGCGGAGCCGACCAGAATTGTGGTGTTTTAGGTTTAAATGAATCCATGGCTGTCAATGGCAGAGCCAGTATTGGATTTGCAAGTTTTATCTGATTGGGAAAAGCCATTCACCATGCTGTTGTTTGCCTGGAAATCCATATAAGGCATCAATACATATATGTGTGTGCATATACACATGGGAACGCAGGGATCATGAGATTAAAACGGAGCATTATAAAAAAAAATATAAACTATATTTTATGTGATGATCATAGTTGGAAAGTGTACTGTCTTTGTCTTTGGAAGAGTATTTTTGATATAATGCCGATTAAAACTGATTAATCTTTCTCTGACAACAAATTTAGGTATCCCATCCAAAGTTCGTCATGAAGCACACAGAACAAAAAACCGTTCCACTGATTTTTCCGCTTCTTCATCACATTCACAGTTCTGCAATTTTCCAATTGGTTGAAGCAGCCAGAAAAAATGGACACAAACACGAACGCCATTTTTCTGTATAATCGGTTCATAAGAACCACCACCGAGCTCGAGAGGAAACTCTATAAAACTTTCCATGAATAATCAGTTCATCAGTCGGCATTAGCACACAAGGTGACAGACTTGAGCCTTTTCGTAGAAGTGTTGATTGGTAGGTTTCTCTCCTGAAGCTGGAAAGCAGCTTCGGTCGGGGAAGAGGACAAAGGATTCCGTTTCCACTTCCAGCCTATAGAGCTGGAGATTCATATTCATGGTTCATCTTCTGTGGCATCTTCTGCAGTCGCTTCTGCTATTTCTTCTCCTTCATCTATGTCATCATCGTCGATAGGAATTTCCTCATTGTCAAATGAAGAAAAACCTGTAAAACATGAGCTTGCTGTCACAAGGTTCGTTCTTACATGGTGACATTTAACGTTGTCTTTGTGACAGTACCATCCTTTTTTTTTCTTCAAAATGAGAAACATGATTTCGATAATGGAAATGTCATTACCTGTTGGAGATGGTGAAGCAGGAGTGGAAGTTATCTCTCTTGTGACTGAAGATTTATCAAGGAGATATGGGAGTCCAAGGAGCTCCAACAAGGATAATGTCTGGGGATTCCGCGGTATCTCTGCACAAATTTCGTAAGAACAAGACACTGTCATTGCAAACTCTCCTGTTACTTGTCGATATGCTTTTACCAATCCCTCTATGGACGTACCAGGTACGGAATTAGGGATATGTTCTGAAGGATTATATGATGGGACTGCCATTGCAAACTCAAAAGGTTTAAACCCTCTTTCTTGTAGCTTGTTCCTCACCCATTCACGACACTCTTGAATGTCCAAATCAGTAGCACTATTACACGATATACAGGGATCAGTCCAGAGTTTTCAAGTTGGAAAAACGAAGGCATGAGACAAATATAAGTCTAAGAATGGCTTGATGCTTTTCCGGAGATATTACCCGAAATTCCCGGGTCTCTTAGTCAACGGGAAAACAGGATTGAACTTCCTTGTGATCGCTAGCCATTCTTCATCATACTGAACCTCAAATGGTCCAGGCTCTGATTCAATTTCAATAATCTAAAGAACGCCCCAAAATCATGAGATGCCCTTGTATCGAAAGACAAGCACAAAGGTGACAGGAAGGAAGGAAGACTTGGAAAAAGTACCTGTAAAAACCTTTTGCCTGGAAGACATTTATCTAGGGCAAGAAACTTTGTCACGGGCCCATCTTCTCCATGTCGAACAGCAGCAGCAAATTTACAATGCAGATGAGCCGAAAACCAATACCGAGGCTTCAGTTTTTCTAGCAGTCGAGCAGCCGGTTCACTTCCAAGAGTTCTCTTCTGAATCTAGAAAAATTCCAGATGAATAAATTACAATATTCCCCATACTTCTAAACAAACTGAAGAAAAATCCCATTAGCTCATCATTGTCTATTCACGGACACATATTTGCCATTTTCAGCACATGAACTTACCTCCTGAGCAAAGTAGGGTTTGTACCGAATAAGTGCCTCCGAGTCCCCATAATCAGTGATTCCACAAGGCCAATCATGTGAGAGGAATATATCTAGCGGCTCTTCGATTTGCATTAACTTGTGGACATCATAATCACGAACATGATAGACTGACCTGATGGTCTGCTCATCGTAAGGCGGCCGCTCAAAGTGTCCTACACACACAAAACTGATCATTCACACTTCATGACCAAACAACAAAACAATTTTCACTGTTCTGGAGAATGTCATCACATACATGAATTGTCACATATACAAGTGGAAATGATTGTTTCTCAGACATTACTGTTTACACGCTTCTTCTCAACCAACAAGGGAAGTTTTTTTTCCTCTGAAACAGAACTAAAGAATCATAGATTTGTCACAGGAAATTATCTTAACATATTGAAGAGGAGGGTAAGGATTTTGGTTCTATATTCACAAACCCAGAATTACCCGAGAGACGGAAAAGAAGTAACCAGGACCAACCTAATTGGTAGTGTCGCCAATTGTAAATACCCGAAAGCCCTCCAATTCGCAGGTTTCCGAACTTCACAACCCCGGCGAAACCCAAGAAGTATATGTTAGGCGCAGCCCAACCCCCATAATACCTAGAAGAACAACAAGGAAACCATCAAAGAACAATTCTTGGGCTCAGGATTCAGACCAAGCCTTGCAAAAGAGCAAACATTCTGAATTTAAAAACTGAAAGAGAGATTATCGAACTTACAATTCCCATAAATAATTGGAAGCTTCGTGATTTCCACCGATGAAAATCGTAGGAATCGGAGCGATCTCTTGACCTGAATAATACTTCCAAAAGGACTTCATTTCTCTGTACTTTCTCGGGACATTAAGGCTATCCATGTCTCTCTCATTTCTCACGGCCTAAATTTTCCACCAGTTGAAAGAGAAAGCAAACCGATTTTCACACGAACGAAACGAGAATTCTGTCGATTTTCCTGGAAAATCAGAATTAGTACGGTTACCTGGAAATCACCGCAGCAGAGAAGAAGATCGATTTTGGTGTTGTGAATCCGTTCATGGTATTGAATCGTCTTGTACACATTGTCGAGCTCACCGTGCATACAACCTTCAATGGCAATCTTCATGTCCGCTCCTCCTCTGCTGAATCCCAGAGCAGTTGGCCTCTGTCACTGACTACACCATAAATGACCAACGAAGGGAGGTAGAGAAAGTTCGCAGACGACACAGGGGGCCGGAGGAAGGCGACTCAGACGGACGTCGTGCCGCCGGAGGAAGAAGTAGCTGCGTCTGCAGAATCTCAGAGCGGAGAGCCTTAGGGTTTTAGTGGTTGGGTTGGGAGACGCAAATTTCCTCTGATTTTTTTTTTGTCATGAAACTTCAAAACGACACCGTACTGTCGAAGGAAAAATTTCCTCGCTTGTCATCGCTTTCAATTGTGATCGCAGATAACGTGTGGTCATATGAGCTCCACCTCCTTTTCTCATATACATACACACGTATCTGCGCATTCAGACATAGATGAATGCATGTATATATATATGTGTGTGCGCGAACGTGGCGATCCTCCCCTCTCTCTCTCATACTGAGAATCCGCCATGGCTGTGCCTTCACTGAGCTCATCTCTTAAACCCGCCATTATTACTCCAATTCGATTCGCAGAGCCAAAGACGATACCCAACCCATTTCACCAAAGACCACGTATTTCCACGAAACCCAGTCCGCGTCTCCTCCGCCGCTTCGCCGCCGTGTCGAACGGATCCACGGTGATGGATATGTCCGGAGGAGGAGCAGAGGTTCTGCTGACTCTCTCGCCGGAGGAGGAGAGAGGTGTCGACGTGGCGGATTATGATTGGACGGAGGAGTGGTACCCTCTGTACCTCACCAGAGATGTTCCTGACGACGCGCCGCTTGGTCTCGCCGTTTTTGATCGGAA